CGGCTCCGGCCCGGGACCCAGTACTGGCTGCCGGGGGAAGCCTGCAGCACCCGGACGCCATGCCCCGCCGGCGCGGGTTGGATACGTAACTTCCGATCGGCATCGGAAGCGGAAGGGCTCTAGTCGAGTACTTCCGGTCGAAATCGGAAAGCGGAAGGTGGCGCGGGTCTGGGACTTTGGTTGACTGCCAGTCGTGATGCCAAGCGTTCAGCTCCTGGTTCTCTTCGGCAGCCAGACAGGCACTGCCCAAGATGTGGCGGAGAGGCTGGGCCGCGAGGCTCGGCGCCGGCGGCTGGATTGCCGCGTGCAAGAGCTGGATTCGTACGCCGTGGTGAGGCTCGACGGCCGGGCGGGAGACCCTGGGCCCGATGGCGTCGGGCGGTCGGAGCCGATGCAGGGGAAGAGGAGGCTTGGCTTCAGGTTGGGGCCTCCGCGAGATGGTTTCTCTGAGTGAAGGGGAGGACATGTCGGGGGCCTGTTCCTTACGGCCAGAGCTCTTACACTTGTGTCTTTTCGTTGAGGCGAATCTGATTAGGGAGCCCCTGGTGATATTTGTTTGTGCGACTACAGGCCAAGGAGACCCTCCTGACAACATGAAGGTAAGGCTGGCTTGGTGTAGCTCCCTCCACCCTAACCCCATTTTCACCGCTTAGAAATTCCAAGAAGCACTTTAAGTCGTTTCCCCTGGAGACACTTTAGAGATTGTTTGGAGCGGATACTTTTGAGTGGAGCTGGGGGCTCTCGTTGTCCTTGCTAATAAATTCTTAATAGCCACTAAATAGCCTTGTTCTCCATTGTAGCACTTTGTGTTTTTCCAAACAGATGTCGGATTCTGGCCTGGGTCTTGGGTGTATCTCCAGGCTCTGTAGCCTTCAAGGAACATTCTTTAATGTTTGATCATCTTGGATGAACTTGTATTCCTGGCACCATCTAGTGCTGGGGATCCATCTGTGAATCTAGTAGCCACATTTCTAGCTCTCACAACCTCACAGTAGATTTGTTGTGTTTTGTTTTGTACCAAGGATTGAACTCAGGACCTTGCACTTGTGAGGCAGGCAGCGGAATTACTGAGCTACATCTTTGGCCCCAAGCTCATAGTAGAAACAGCGGGTTTCATGGGCAGTTAAGAGTACCAGGAAATGCCTGCTTCTGGGGAACATGCAGGATGTTGTGGGATCCTGGGGCCTCACACGGAGCTTTCTGTCAGGAACATAGGCTGAGTCCCAAGGATGAATGGGAGCTGGACAGGGAAGATGGAGCTGGTGCAGAGGAGAAAGATGGCCAGGCAAATGTGAAGAGTGAAAAGCAGTTAAGGATGGCCAAGCTAAGGACAGGAGAGGAAAGGAAGCTAGTCAGGAAGCCAGGCCAGATTCAGAGTCTGAGCAGCCACAGGAAGGCAGACAGGTGGGCTGGAAGTGAAGTGCTGTGAAGACTGGGGGGGTAACAGAGTAATGCTCACATTCTAGCAGCAACAACAGCTCTCTTCAGGGAGTGAGATGATGCCAGAGATTCATAGCCCAGGAGAGAGGTGCTAGTGGTCTGAGCCAGAGCAGTGGCAGAAAGTGCAAAGTGGACACATTCTAGAAAGGTTAAGGAGGTAGAATCTGCAGGGCTTGTAATTGAAGGGGTCTGGAAGATGAGGAAGAGGTAGAATTTCAGTTGAGATTTGGCCTTTGGAACCAGAATGGGTGCTACCCATGGAGAGAGGTATGCCCAGTGCTGGGAGATTGAGTAAGTCTGGAGCTCTAGGGGGGTCCTTGGACCAAAATCCAGCTCTAGGGGTGAGAAAAACCCCTATGCCAAGACCGCCGCCTACATCAAAGCAGAGGGCAGGGCTGTGGCCAGGCAGTGGGGAGGGCATGTACCTTCTTCAAGGTCAAGTTCAGGGAGGTAGGTGTTTCACAAAGGGCTGCAGCCATCAAAGCTGTGTGGAAGTTAAATAAGATGAGGCCTGGGAGGCATCCCTGGGATGGTTGATTTAGAGTAGTTTCTTGGCTTGTGGGGAGAGAAGCCGAGTTACTGGGGATCAGAGAGTTAGTAGGGAGGTCCTCTGAGAATGTCTGGCTATTTAAACATTCTGGCTGTGAAAGAGCTAAGGAATTCGAAAGAAAGAGTTTTATAGGATGGGAGAGACTCGGCATGTTCAGTGTTGGTGGGGGATGGAGAGAGAAGAATGAGGAGGGGTGTAACAGAGCAAGGTGCTGTGGGGAGCCCTGGTCAGGCCTGAGGGGCAGAATGGGGGATAGGATGGAAGCAGGAAGTGAGTGATGGGATGGAAAGGTGCTGGCTTAGGAGAGGAGAGGAGTTGAGACTGTGCTGGGTTGTCAGGGCAGCCAGTGACACCCAGGTATGACAGTCCCTGAGGTATGACGAGACACAAGTGGACAGAATGGCGGAGGGAAGAGTGGTGGGAATGGGCAGCCCTCAGAGGAAACGAGTGATGCTACCACCCTCCCTGACCACAGAAGGAGCTGGGCCCCTTTGGCGGCTGCAGGTCCTGCACCACAGAGGCTAAGGAGCAGCTCCCCAGTGACCATCTGCTTGCTGGGCGGGAAGCCTTAGCCTCTCTGCTGTGTTCTTCTTTGGGAAGCAGCAGGATCACAATGAAAGGCCTGACGGTCCCTGCCATCCTGGTAGTTAAGCCCACTGGGCACCAGGCACATGTTCGGCACTTCCATCAGCCTCGAGTACAGGTGGATTATGTGTAACTACCACACAGAGCAGAATCTTCACTAAGAGGCATAGGCAGAGAAAGCAACAGGAATAGGCTGGATGCAGCACCCACAGGAAAAGGCCAGCACGACAGAGCAGGACTGGGCTGGCAGCACAGAAGAGGGTTTTAGAAAAATTAGAGGATGCAGCAGGGAAATTGTCCCAAGGGATGTAACAAAGAGCAAGGTGGAAAACAAGAAAAGAGATCAGAGCTCAAAGATCAGCTAAGCATGATGGTACAACCTGTAATCCCAGCATCTGGGAGGCTAAGGCAGGAGCATTGCAAGTTTCAGCCTCATCTGAGTGATTTAGCGAGACTCTGTCTCAAAAATTGTTTTTTAAATGGAGGTTTAGCTCAATGCAAAGGCCCTGTGTTCAGTCTGTAGTACTGCCAAAAGAAAAACTTCATGTCAGGAGTCTCAAAATAAAAAGATAGGAAATTACCAAGAAAAGTAGCAAAATGTCCCAGAATTGAAGGCTGAGATTCCAGCCTGGGACATGACCACATGCCTGAGAGACGCATGCTTGAGAGTGAACAGGGCAACGGCTGAGGCATGCTCTGCGTGTCTAGTTGTTGTAGACAAAGAGCATGCCCAGGCAGCTGCTGTGGGATACCATGGCAGCACACAGATGGTGCTGGCTTCTTAGCAGCAGCCACCAAGCTGGAAGAGTCCAAAGCAGCCTTGGCCCCAAGGGCCACAGTTCTCCTCCATGGCGTTGCCCACAGGCCTACTCAGCGCCTCCCACAGGCTGGGCATAGGCCTCTCCCTGAGCCCTTGGGCTTCAGGAAGCAAGGCCCTAGGAAGCAGGTATTTGTTTGAAACCTCCCAGCAAGGTGCCAGGATGGCATGGGCCAGTGGGCAGAGCTGGGCCCTGACACAGAGTGCTGACAGGACATCGCCCATCGTGTGGGGTCTGAGGACTCTCCTGCTGCCTCTGTCCTTGTCCACATAAAGCAAGGTGGGTGAGGCAAAGCCAGACCTCCTCATAGCCCACACCAGGCTGCAGTAGGGAGGCAACTTGATGCCTCTCCTTGTGTGTGGGCCTCAGTGCTGCCAAGGAAGACATGGAAGGGGGATTGCTCCCAGCTGGGATCATCTGGCTCCAGGGATGGCATGGGATGCATCCCAGGTGCTCTGAGGCTTGGGTGTTGGGATCTGGAGCAGCAGGAGGATGGACCCAAGGGTTCCTGAGGAAAAGGGGGCAGAACAAGAAGGGAGACAGGCTGAGGTAGAGGGTCCTGGTGGTGGCGCAGACCCCACTGGGGCCCTTCCCTGAGCTACACCTGGGGCCCAGGCCAAGCCCTGACAGGACTGTGGAGATGCTGACCCTCGGGCCTGGCTGGAAGCAGAGGGCTGAGTAGCAGGTATGCAGACAGGTTGGCTTCCCAACCTCTTTGGAGCAATGGCTTTTTCCTTTATAATTTTATACATTTTCCCAAGTTTTTTGTTGTGTACTAGAATAAAAACCAGTTCTGTTGTTTTGGTAACACAAGCTCTTAAGGAGCAAAAGGGCCTCTTCATGCCCTGGGAAGGAGGCCTCACTTGCCATGTGCAGGCCTGGCACTTAGCACCCGCCTCCTTGCCCCAAGACTTCCCTACATCCCCATACAATGGGCTGGCCTAGAGCCAGGGGCCCTGACACCGGCTTCCTCTGGCCAGAACTTCTGGAGGTTTATATTCCGGAAGAACCTGCCGGCCACCTCCCTCTGTCAGCTGGACTTTGCTGTCCTGGGCCTCGGGGACTCCTCCTATGCCAAGTGAGTAGGGGTGGTGGATGTGGGGCCCAGCATGCTGGCTGCACAGGGATGGTTCTGGAGGTCTGTGCCCCTCCAGGCTTCGGGCATGAACGCTGGTGAGGGGAGGGCAGCCGAGGAGCAGAGCTGGGCTCACACCAGCCAGGGACACGTCCTACCCAGTTCTGTTCCCTGCCAGGGATAAAACAGACACCACGAGGTGTTTATGCCATACGCAGAGGGCTGAGATGGGCAGCTCACTCCAAGGCCACGTCTCGCCTGGCCTGGAGTCGCCACTGGGTTTACTGTTTCAGCATTTTCACAACACACAGCCACGTCTCTGAGGATTGTCACTTTGTATCACTACCTCATAGATCAGGGGTTTATGTTCAGGGTGGGGACCGCATCTTAGGAGGCTCAGGCTTTGAGTCTGTCTGTCCAAGGGGCCCGGGGTTGGCCGGTACCACCTGCCTGACTGCGTACTCTGCACGAGATGAAGAGCTCAGAACACAGGAGAGGAAGCAGCTTCTCATCATGTTCTGCTGGAGCTCTTGTTCCTGCGCTGTGCACATACCAGTGCAGCCCCAGGGTGTGAGAGGTTGGAGCACCAGTTTTGCTCTATAAACAGAAGGGAAACATGCCCAGGGAGGTATCTGACCCCCTCCTCACTTGAAGCCTCAGCCGAGGAGTGACCAAGCCCTGGCCAGGGTCAGGACTGGCTGGAGGGTCAGGACTGTCCCCCTTACCAGCTGCTTCCTAGTGATCTGGGCACTGGTGCACCTGGGCTGCAGTGCAGGCTCAGCGCAGTTTCTCCATCTGCAGATTTAACTTTGTGGCCAAGAAGCTGCACCGCCGGCTGCTGCAACTTGGGGGCAGTGCCCTCCTGCCCGCATGCCTGGGTGATGACCAGCATGATCTGGGGTGAGTATGGTCCGTGGGTCTCCCATCATGGCGGTGGTGGACAGGTGAGTCACCTGCCCATGTCCAACAGCTGTGCTTTCTCCCAGGCCAGATGCTGCCATTGACTCCTGGCTGAGGGACCTGTGGGAGAAGGTGCTGGGCCTGTACCCAGTGCCTCTGGACCTCGCCGAGATCCCCCCTGGAGTCCCGTGAGTGAGGGCCTCAAGTCAGCCCTGGGGAGGCCACGGACATACCCTGGCAGGGACCTTACCCTGGTCTTTTCAAGTGGGCTAGTGGCTCAGGAGGGAGCCTATAGCCTGCTGCCAGGCCGCCAGGCCTAATGCCCGTGTCCCCTACCCCCACCCCGCAGCTTGCCCTCCACGTTCGCCATCCAGCTCTTCCAGAATATGCCCAGCACAGTTGCCCAGGAGCCGTTTGTGTCAAGTCTGGATCCTCATCAGCCCCCATCAGAGTCACAGCCATTCCTAGCACCCATGGTCACAAACCAGAGGGTCACAAGTCCCTCACACTTCCAGGATGTTCGGCTGATCGAGTTTGACATCACTGGCTCTGGCATCAGGTGGGAGCCGGCCTAAGACCCCACGCAAGCAGGGTGCCCAGTACTTGGGGATCAAGGTGGACAGTGATCCTGGGGCTCAGAGAGGTCTGCAGCAGCTCAGCGGCCTTGTCCGCAGACCCCACCACTTTCCCTGGAGCCCCCACCTCCTCCCTTACTGCACCAGTCACCTGCCCCTAGGCTGCCATCCCTCCCACGTTGTCCCACACAGCTTCTCTGCCGGCGATGTGGTACTGATTCAGCCGTCCAACTCAGCCGCCCACGTCCAGCAGTTCTGCCGGGTGCTGGGCCTGGACCCCAACCAGTGGTTCACACTGCACCCACGGGAGCCAGGTGAGCGGGGAGCCAGCTGCCCACCTACCACCCCACAGAGGCCCCAGCCCATGACACCTCCACTCCTGCTCCAGGTGTGCCCTGCCCACCAGGGCTGCCCCAGCCCTGTTCCGTGTGGCACCTTGTGACCCAGTATCTGGACATTGCCAGCGTGCCCCGCCGCTCTTTTTTTGAGCTTCTGGCCTGTCTGTCCGCACACGAGCTGGAGCGGGAGAAGCTGCTGGAGCTCAGCTCGGCCACAGGTCAGGAGGCGCTGTGTGAATATTGTAGCCGGCCTCGAAGGACCATCCTGGAGGTCAGGGCCAACCCGGAGGCCAGAGAGTGGCAGGGTTGTGGGTACTGAGTCACAGGCCAGGAACCTGTGCTGAGGGTCTCTGCCCAGGTGCTGTGTGACTTCCCACACTCAGCGGGTGCCATCCCCCCGGACTACTTGCTGGACCTCATCCCACGGATCCGGCCAAGAGCCTTCTCCATTGCCTCGTCTCTGCTGGTGAGGGCAGCCCCCGGGCTCGGCAGGCAGGGCTGCCTCCAAGCAGAATGGCGTGGCAGCTACGGTGCCCACTGTTCCCCCAGGCTCATCCCAACAGGGTGCAGATCCTCATGGCTGTGGTGCAGTACCAGACTCGCCTCAAGGAGCCCCGCCGTGGCCTCTGCTCCTCCTGGCTGGCCTCCCTGGACCCTGGGCAAGGTGACTCCTCCTAGGAGGGTGAGGGGACTGCAGCCCAGCCCTCCCATTCTGCCCCATGCTCATGGCCAGTGCCCTTGTCCTGTGCCATTGAGCCCCTTCATGCCACCTCCCTCCTGTGGCAGGACCCATCCGGGTGCCCCTGTGGGTACGGCCAGGCAGTCTGGCCTTCCCAGAGTCCCCAGACATACCTGTGATCATGGTGGGGCCTGGCACCGGCGTGGCCCCCTTCCGAGCAGCCATCCAGGAGCGTGTGGCTCAGGGTCAGACTGGTGAGTGTGGGGACCCCAGGCTGAGTCATGGCTGGGGCTGGCACCATGGGACCCCACAGATCTGTGTCCAGCTTGAGGCCACCCTGTACTCCCCAGGAAACTTCCTGTTTTTTGGCTGCCGCTGGCGGGGTCAGGATTTCTACTGGGAGGCTGAATGGCAGGAACTGGAGAAGAGAGGTTGCCTGACTCTCATCACAGCCTTTTCCCGGGAGCAGGTGGGTGTGATCTGGAGCAGGGAGGGGGAGGAGGAGAGCAGCAGACTCAGCCCCACTGCTTGCAGGAACAGAAGGTGTATGTGCAGCACCGGCTCCAGGAGCTGGGGCCCCTCGTCTGGGAGCTGCTGGACCGTCGTGGCGCTTACTTCTACCTGGCAGGGTGAGCCCAGGCTCAGGGCTGGGAGCTATGGGTGCCCCACCTTGCGAGGTCCCAGCTGCACTGAGCATCTCTGGTTGCCCATGTAGCAATGCCAAGTACATGCCGGCAGATGTCACGGAGGCCCTGACGTCCATCTTCCAGGAGCACGGTGGGCTCTCCAGCCCTGATGCAACCACTTACCTTGGCATCCTCCAGCGTACGCTGCGCTTCCAGATGGAGACCTGGGCCTGAGAGGCCACCTGCCAGCCCACAGCCAATCTGACAGCTGTCCTGGGGTCCAGGGGAGTCCCCGGGGAAGCTCGTAGTAGAGGAGCCAGCAACAGCTCATACCCTGGTCCTTACCACACTGAAGGACCAGGGTCCTATGCCATCAGCCCTGACTACAGCCTGACCTACCACCCCGCCCTGTCTATGCCCTGCCCCACCATCCTGTCCTGTGTCCCCCACTTGGGAACAGGGCACTGTTCATCTTTCTGCCTGGGTGCTCCCAGCCATTCCATGGCACCCTGGGGGACCATGCTGCTCCCAGTTGCCCTGCAGTACCCACAGCGCTCAGGGTTGGGCCAGAGGCTACCAGAGCCTCCACAGCCTCCTAAGCATCGTGAAGAGCCCAGGCCAGGCCCTTTCTCTCCGAGTCCCAGAAGCCTTGGTAGTAAATGTGGCCTCTGGGCAGCTGTTCCCATGCGTGTTGTCTTTCTGCTCCATGTTACAGGTGGTGGGTGGGTCCTGCGTGTTCTCCATGGCCCCTCCAGTGGTGTGGGCACCCACATGTGTGGCACTGCACAGCTACCTTGTCCATCACCTCGCACTTGGGTGTCCAGTATAACATGAACTCGGGGTCCTGGAGACACCCAGCCAAGCCTGCCCTGCCTCGGACGCTGCAGTTCCCTGGCAGGCCAGTGATGTGAGGAATGCTAGGCCCGCCCAGGCCTACCCAGGAAGGGGTGGGAAGGGGCGTGGCGTGGTCCCCGCCCCCAGGCTACCTCTGCCTGGGCCCCAGATCTGGGAAGGGCAACCTTGACAGAGTAGGTGGGCCGGCAAGCCAGTCCTGGCCAGGAAGGAAAGAGCGAAGAGCGTTTGTGTAGTCAGTCAGTCCGTCGTTGACACGGGGATTGGATGTGGCTGAGGCTCAACACCAACAGATCCTGACCAGAAAGGGTTCTGTGTGGGCCCAGGAGCTGCCTGGAGCAAGCACCCAGCCAGGTTCTAGAGAAGTTCCTGTTGGGCCAGGGAGCCCAGAAGTGTAGCTGGAGGTCAGTACTCGGGAGCAGTGGGGTGGCATCCAAACCCTGCCCAGCTGCTGAGGGCCACACTGACCTCCACACCTCCCCCACCGCCAACCCACAGGCTGGAGCCCCTACCCACCCATCCTGACTCCCGCTCTAGGGACCCCACCTTGGGCCCCTCGGACTTCAGTTCTAGGCCTTCCAGTCCTCTGTGGGCCTCTCTGGGTCCTGAGTGTCTGGACTTGCTGTGCCAACCTCCAGCAGATGGGGGAGGCCTGGGGCCCCCCCAGTGTGCCAGTACTCTGGGCAGTGAGCCCCTGCTTGGGGCCACAGCCTCAGCTAGCACCTGGGTTCTGCCAGAGCTGGGGGAGCCGGTGGAGGACCACAGGCAGGAGGAGGAGTGTCCTATCTGCACAGAGCCCTATGGGCCCAGTGAGCACCGCCTGACTCTACTGAACTGCGGCCATGGCCTGTGTTCAGGCTGCCTGCACCAGCTGCTGGGCACAACCTCCAGTGCAGACCTGGGTCGCGTATGCTGCCCTCTGTGCCGCCAGAAGACACCCATGCTGGAGTGGGAGATCTGCCGGCTGCAGGAGGAGCTGCTTCAGGCTGATGGGCCCCAGCGCCCGCCACCCCCTGTACCCCCCACACCCGCTGGCCGTAGGCCTGGGCCCTGGGGCTCCCTCGAGCACCGCTACCAGCCACGCTTCCTGGTGGGGCCTATGGGCAGCCGGGGCTGCCTGCCCTTCCTGCCCTGCCCACCCCGTCTGGGCACCTGGCTGTGGGCACTGCGGGAACGTGGGCCCTGCGCCCGCCGCCTGGTGCTGCTGAGCCTGCTGGCGCTTGAGCTGCTGGGGCTGCTGCTCATCTTCACACCGCTCATGCTGCTGGGGATGCTCTTCATGCTCCTGGACCGCGCCAGCCGCTGAGCCCAGCTAGATGACCAGGCTCGAAAGCTCAACTTCAGACAGTCCTGGCCTTCCCGAGCCCCAGACACCAGAAGCCTGGCCTGGCCAGAGAGCCCACTCCATCCTGCAGTCCGGACATAATCTGGGCCCAAGGACACTATGCAAGGACAGCTGCTAGAGGAGGGCAGCAGGAAGGACCTCGAGCCAGGCCCTGCCCTGGCCATGGCAGACTCTGGGTCACAGCACCCCCTCCTGAGGCCCATCCAAGGAGGACAACATGAGAGGCAGGACATGTGGAAGTGAGTCTGTTGCCAGGGGAAGGACAGGGGCCACAGGAGCTGACCTAAAATCTAGATCAGAGCCAGCGTGTCCTTGAAGGTCACTGCGGCCAGGGGAAGGGCCTGTGCAGCACATGGCTGGCCCAGGGAAGCCAGGGGCTTAGAGGTACTGGCTCCCAACACAGCTTGAAGCTCTCACCTGCAGGATGCCACAGCCATGGGTAAATGGTGATGTGATTAAGGTGCGGTGCTGAGCATGTGCCTAGCACAGAAATTGGCTCTCAATAAACAGGAGCTCCTGGCACCATGGACATGCAGCCTGGCTGTCCTCCCAGTTAACTATTCTCCGTCATCAAGGCAGACCCCCACACCCCAGTGCAAAGGGACCTTCCCCAAATCCTGCTGCCCCTGACAGGAAGCTCCTGGTCCTAGTGGCCCTCGCCGGGAGACCCATGCAGGGCCAAGGGCACAAGGAGAAAAAAACCCTGAGTCTTCCCCCACACCACGGCCAGTGCAGAGTGCAGGTCTTGTCCTTACACGGCTAGGCTTGCTCCACGTGTTGGCCACTCGACTAGCCTGTGGGCACACATTGGCAGCACACACACTCGGGGCCAGACCCAGTCCTCCTGAGCAGCATGCCCTAGCCTGGCCCCTAACACACAGGGATGAGCCTCCCTCTGGCAGTTCCAGGCTGGATACAGTCCAGGCTGCAGCCATGGGTACCTACCCTGGGCCCATGGGAGCAAGCCTCAGTCCAGGGAACAGGTGCAAACTTTGGCAAAGAGTTTTAATGGCAGAGTTGGCTGCAGTGACAATGCCACACAGGGTAGGGCCACAAGCCGTGGTGGGCAAGGGAAGGTCAGCGGGTGACAGGGTAGGGCTGGGTCCCTGAAGAAGCAGCAAGTGAGGACTGGAGGCCAGCAGCGGGCAGGTGGGTGCTACATGATGGAGCAGGCAGACAGCGGGTTCCGCACATGGCAGGTGCACGCAGCCCCACAGTACTGCCTGAAGGTCTGGTAGCAGCTGCCCTCAGGCTCTCCCCCCCACTGGCCACCAGATGGAGCGGTCAATGCCTCGGGTGGCAGGCGGCTCAAGATGGACGTGTTGACAGCCAGCGCGGCCAGGCCGTAGTCGGTGAAGAGCACAGTCTCACGGCGGCAGGTGGGGCAGGAGATGAACTTGTACTTGGGGCAGGACTCATACAGGATCTGCAGGCACTGCTCACACACTGAGTGCAGGCATGACAGCACCCGGGGCCGCCGCTGCGTGACATTGTAGGTGTGCCCGCAGGTGGGGCACTCCAGGGGCTCCCCAGCTGCTGCTGCTGCTGCCCCTGATGACGATGAGGACGATGAGGAGGAGCTGGCTGAGGCTGCTGGACTGGGCCGGATCACATACTGATTCACAATCACCTCGTCCGCTGGCACCACTCTGGGGAAGCCCAGTTCCGAGCTGCCTTTGCCAGGTCGCCGTGGCAGGGGTGGGGTGTGGGGTGCCCCTTCCAAGGCAGGCATTTCCCCCCCACAGGCCTGGTTGACAATGATCTCTGTGTCGGAGGGCCAGGCACGCTTAGGTGCCAGAGTAGGGGTGGGCCGAGGTGCAGGTGGGAAGCAAGGGGTGGCGGCTGGAAGCTCAGGGAACTTTTCAGGGTGCACGATCTTCATGGCCTCCATCTTGAGGATGACATGTGGGCCCTTCAGGCAGGACATGAGGAGGCCCGGCCAGCCGCTGCCCACCTCGGGCCCAGGGTCAGCTGGCATCCGGCTGACTCCAGTCACACCAGATGTTCCGGTGGGCGGGGACGTTGGGTGGGGGCGAGGGGGCAGACAGGGAACAGCATCTTGGTCCTGCCAGGCCTGATGGAGACCCCGGCCGCCCCGTGGACTCCTGGGGGCGGCCGGCGAGACCTGGGGGGGCTGAGTGCCCCCCAGTGGCCACAGCGGCCTCTCTGGTCCAG